TGCCGTTGTGTGTACTTAGATATTGCACAAATAATTCAAGAAATGTCAGATAAAACCAAGGAATTACTCTTCATCGGTTAATAAGATACTTAATCAATAAAAGAATAATAAAGATTAATAATAAAACAAATTATTTCTAAGACGCCATCTCGTGTCATGGAATATATATTATGAAATTAATATGTTCAGATGCGACATTTCTGTGGGTACTTAAGTATAGGACGAATATACTATTATACACATTTTTTTTGTAGAAACATGTATAAGTTATTATAATTAGGCTAAATTTTTCATGTTTAAATCTGCTTATTATTCTTTTATTTTATTTTTAGGTTTACACATCAAAGTCAAAGTGGAATAAATTCGTCCATTTTTTACTTTCGCGTGCCCAGCATTTATGAACGACTCTTATTCTCATTTAAATAAATATATTTGTAATTTAAATATTATGTTAATAAGTTTTGTTATCATACATTTAGTACGTTTTTTTATATTTCACATAGATATATTTTAAAATATTCAGATAAAACATCATTAAAATGTAATTGTGATATAATATTATGTAATATTATATTAAATAAGCAAATTTAACATACAAAATAAATGGCAAAATTTAAATATGGTTCTCGATATAATGTACCTATTTAACAATACAATCTACTATTACCTACGGATATTCTACCTATGTGTTTATTCTATGCTAAAAAAAACCAACCGCGTGAACACAGAGTAGCGCACATTTTTTGTTTGAGATGGCTGTTCTAGTACGTAAGTACATATTACTTCAATGATATTGCAGGATGTACTTAAAAAAATAACTTTGAAACCAGGTCTAAACCCAATAAATGTATATACACAGTAATCTATGCAATAAATAGTATTCCGCCAAATAAAAGATGCATCACGTAATGTGATGTTAGGGTATCGAACGTTAATAATGTGCTTTTCATCATCATCATCATCATTACAGCCCTTCACACGTCCACTGCTGAACATAGGCCTCCCCCAAGTAATGCCACAAAGCACGGTCCTGAGCCACCTGCATCGGGGATATAACGTCACCCTGTCTTACACCTCTCTGCAGTTGGATAGGTTTCGAACTCTGGTTCTGTACTTGGATATCCATCGTAGCCCTACTGTACAAACACTTCAGCACTTCGATATACCGACAGTCAACTTGGCACCGCTGAAGAGACTGTAGCACCGCCCAAATTTCGACGGAATCAAAGGCTTTCTCATAGTCCACATATGCCAGGCAAAGTGGCAGATTGTTCTCTTCGGTCTTCTGTACAATCTGCCGCAGGGTATGTATGTGATCTATGGTACTGAAATCTTTTCGGAAACCGGCTTGTTCGGGAGGCTGGAAGTCGTGGATTCGTAATGACTCTCGAAAACAGTACGTAGACGCGGCTCAGAAGGGAAATCGGTCTGTAGTTCTTCAAGAGAGCGTTGTCGCCTTTATTAAAGAACAAGACCACCGCACTTCTGCTCCACGCCACGTCCAACGTTGATGTGTACAGCTGCCCATAGAACCTCTCAATCTCACTTAAAATCTCAGGTGTCCCAGATATGAGGCTGCCAAAATCAGTCTTCAGCTTTGACAGTTGGCTCTTTCTGGCAGACAGATCTCTGGCAAAGACTTTGGAGCCCTGGTTCCGCTCGATCGCTTCTTTAATACGAGCAGTATTAAAGTTGCGTAAGTCTCGCCGTATGCATTTGGAGATCTGACTGTTCAGTTGCCTGTATGCTGTCAAATCTGTTGACGACTGCAGCCTCATCCCGTCTAACGTGCTTTTAGATGTAGTTTATTTCTCATAACTAATGTGATAATAGTCTCTGAAAAACGCACTTTGGCAAGGTTTTGGTCGGGGTATCGCCTAAAGTAAAATAGATAAATAATCACATAAGCTGTTTGATGAAACCTTAATTTTTATATTATGGAAAAAAATCCTAATTATAATCACTTCTATTTTTGGTATTTCAAAGGAATAATTTGGCCTTGATTTCAGGTTTTTAAAACAATTTTTAAACTTATTGCTTTTGATACTACACAATACACAGACAGCACCATGTTATAAAATATTTTCTTTCAAAAGTACAAATCATTAGAATACCTTCTAATAATTAATCAAGGTACATAATTTGTCTCGAGGATATGAATTAATACATATTTTTTGAATCACTCCGTGCAACATTATTTAGTTTTTTTTTTCTAAGATTTTAAAAATATTTTAATGTTTGAAGTTTTATTTTATCATTATTGATTTTAATATGCCTGTCTGCCTTATTTTATTTATAATTATTGGCCCAGCTCTTAGGCCATCTTTGAGGGTCTGAATTATTTTGATCAACAAATTAATGATAAGGGTCCTTACTTTTTTATGTTTATGTCATATTAGAAATTCAAATTTGATATTTATTAACAATTTAATGATTTGAAATATCCCATTTGAGGGGAATCATTGGTCAAATGTTTTTAATTATTTTTGTTATAATCTTCAACACATTATGAAGTTTTGTGAAAGTCACATTTGTGTTTTTCTTGAAACATTACAAATTTGATGTATTTGCTTGGTGTAGGGTTGTCTTACAAAGGTCATTATTACATTATTTACATACATTAATTTTCATCTTTTATAACTTTTAAAGTACAAATATTTTAGTTTTTAGTTTCTGCGAATTTGCTAACTGCCAAATTGTGAGCAGTAAAACCTCTTATTTACTACCTCTTCCTTTGGAGTGGAGGGCATTTTTATCAGTAAATAATCCAGATTTTATATATATATATATATTATAAAATCATGGCATCCTGCTGACAACTTGCCACCAAGGTATAATTTAAATTTAAAATTGTTGAACAACACTGTATTGAATAAAATTTAAATTGTTGGCAAGTAGGATTCGTGTTTTCTGCTTCGTGATTTTTTACTAAGGAGAAAGTATTCAGCAGAGTCTTAGTTAAATTAACACATTAACTAACTTAATATATTGTTATATAGATATTGAAACAAATCTTTTGTCGTATTAACATAAGATACTGCTCAATTTTTATTTATGGAAACTAAAATGATTACATACACTTCCATCTCTTTTTTAACTTCCTGAAATCTCATTGTAATTAGTAAAACTTTGTTTCACAGCATATATGTTCCGAATTACGTTTTCTAGACACTTTTTATAAAATCTTTGGTTAAAGGAATTAAATAAAATCAAACAAATGTGACTAACTTCAGTCAGTCAGTCATATCTGCAGTATTTTGCTCTTTTGGGGTAATTAATAATGTATTGAAAATAAAATCAAAACAAAGTTGTTAATGACAAATATTTATTTAACATTAATTATTAATATGTTTCAGTTGTAAAAACTTACTTGCACAAAATCTAAGACCACCTAATACACGTTGGTTAAAATTCGTGCTTTACTCTTAATTTTAGGTTTTAGGTTACACTGAGGTATCTGTCAGCTTACTTATCCATCATCCAGTAGTTCATTTTCTCCTGCATCAATATCTAAGAGTAATTGATTTTAAATGCTCCCATTTAGTAATCTACTATGCCATGCGTATAAATCTTAATTCTTTTGAAATAAAATTTCCTCTTTCGATAAGTGTAGGATAAAATAAAGAGAATTATTTCTTATTTTATATTTCAAAAGCATTTTTGCTGTCTTTCTTATCTCTTATTTATTATTATTATTATCACCAAACCAAAACATGTTCATGGTTATATTTTCACTTAACATCCTCAGTCTTCAGAATCTATGACAGAGGACACTAGCATCTCACCAAACATGAAGCACAAGCACTCTGCCATGCTCAAGCTTTGTTCTTTCATTTGCTTAAATATAATTGAGTTTATACCTAGTTTAATTAGTATTTAGTTAAGGACATTTTTAATGTCCATCTTGAGGACAAAGTGAACAATTTCCTTAAAAATATTGATCTTTTAAGGCTTTTTATTCTTTTTATTGAAATTGCTTCTTTTTATTGAAATTGCTAAACACAATTTGTCTTCGAAGTTGTATCATTATCCACGACATTCATGTTATACTTGTACTAACTGCATATTCAGGAATACGTGGGTGTGCATAGTCAAAGATAATCAAAGTTTTATTCTAATATTTTTCTTGGTATAATTTTTGTTGATTTATGTGGTATCTTCCTCACTTTATTAGATTGATTATAATTTCGCAAATAGTTTATTAAATTGTATAATGTATGTGTGTGTTATAATATATAAAATGCTCGTGTTGTAATAAAAAAAATATGATTACATGTGTAAACAATGGTATAGTGGGCATAAGAAAGTCACTTTTGTAAATTATTTGTATTTTTTAAAAGTATGGTACACACATTTAAATTAGTTATGTAACTAAAATATCGTCCCCGTAGAGCGAAAAGTCATTAAGTCGAAAAATCGTGTTTCGAGATAATGAGAGTTAAAGTTTTTGAAAATAAAAATCGTTATAACATTGGCTTGTCTTTACATATCTTTACGTTTTTAGCTTTAATTTGAAGGAAATAAAATAAATAATATACTATAAGAGATAAAACACGTGAAAAATCTCTAATAATTGAGAAAAGCTAAAAACATTTAAGTAATTAATTGTTTTCTATCAAATCTATGATTTAGTTGCGAATTAGTTAATTTTCGAACGTAGTTAGTGACTTGTCTCTCAGTTCTAAATTATTTTGAAGAAAATTAACTAGACTTAAGTAAAGTCGAACTTTCTATTAGGTGTCAAAACATGTATTGTAAATACTACTTAACTGAATATTCGAAACTTGTATGTTAAGTTTTGTCTTAAATATAACATGATTAAGTAATGAAACTATTGTTATATATTCAATCAAGATTTATTGAAGCAATTATTCGAAAATATCAACCGAAATCAACAAAATACAATTAGTGTTAAATAAAAACAAAAAGTGCAACAACCTCATGCACACAAACTGAAAAGTGATAGAACTAGTAGAACATAGTTATTAAAAAAATAGATTTCAGTCGACTACTTCTTCTTCTCCCTCCTCAGTGACGTCTGGCTCCAAAATTCTATCTACTACGTCTTTACTTGTTGGTAAAGACTGATACCACAAGTGGAGCTCTTGTGGGATTATCCCCTTTGCACATAAATTATTGAGGTCTTTCTTTTTTGCCTCTGAAATAGGCAGCGGCGAGGAGTAAGCTGGTGGCATTTTATAATTTTTCAATACTTGCATCAGTTCTTCTGTCCCTTGTCCATCCGTTTGTTCTTCTAGTTTCCTCCTCTTTCTAGTAATAAGTGTAGATTTTGTCGGACATTCTAAAATATTAAATTCTAGGTAGGGACCATCATGTTGATATCTAAACTTAACAAGACCCGGGCATTTTCTCTCGAAACGAAGACACTTAATTTTTAGCCATGTAATTTTATTGGATTCTTCAGAGATTATTCAGAGATCTGCATGTATTTTTTGCTATTTTTTCATTAAGAGCTCTTACATCAACCATTTCCGTGTATTTTAATTATTTAACTGTATAAGGTGGTGCTGAATCCCTGTTTCTTTTAGAGCGAGCACGTTCCATGATCGACTTCCAGTCAATCATGGAATAAACAGGCGTATGTCTTTGCTGTCTTTCTATTGCACTATGCATAGAGTCCACTTCCATATGAGTGTGACCACTCTCTAAATATTTTTGCTCTATAACTTCCAGCTGCCCATCCATTTTTTGAATCAAATGAACCAAAAATGCCGCGATAAATTGGTTTCTATTTTGCCCAGCGCACGTGTACATACATGGTGATACATGGTAATTTGTTTAATATTGGTGGGTATCTGACTAATCCACCAGTTAATTGCACTGGCAATTTCCACACTGCCCCTTTTACCATTAATCTCATTCCAAGTTATACAAAATGATTCATGAGGTGGTTTCGACGTGTAAATTGTATAATTTTGTATGTTTAATTTTCTGGTGTAATATAAAATACCAACACCACTGACTGGTATATGCAAAGTAGACTGCATGTCTGCAGTTACGACTAGGTAATTGTCATCAATAATAGACCGCTGTTTGTCCGATTCTTTCGCTTGCTGTGCTTCATTTTTTCTTGCAATATGTGAATCATATTCCTCCTTCAAATGTTCTGGACGTCCGGCACTATCATAAGGAGTGCATGTTATGCATAAGTCTTTTTATGGGGTAAAAAATGACAAATTGAATTTAGACCCAAATATTGTTTTATAGACGTAAAAAGAACATGGTTCTTCATTTAATGTTGTTAGTTGCTCTTTATACAATTCGTACATTTTAGCGATTGTCAGTTTGCTCTCCAGGTACTTTTGCTTACTTTTCTTCTTGCAGTAGTGAGATTCGAGCCGGGGAAAAGAGTTTATGTGGTCAATGATCTTCTGTTCAGACTCTAAGCTTGTTTTGTTTACTGGGACTCGAGAACCACGCCCATCCTTCCCTGTATAGTTACCCAACTCATCTCTATATTTCAATGCTTCATTTACCGGTCCACTTGAAATGCTTAGAGTTTTTAGAAAAAAATCTTTGCAGACTCGTATTTTATTATCATTTTTATTAAAATAATAAGAATAGGTAGCAGTCCGGTTTTTTTTAGCAGGGATACCAACTTTCATTGTTTTTATAGGCTGAGCCACCACTTTTTGAAGTAAAAATTGTTTTTGTGCATTGAAATTTGTGATTTTCCAGTAGGCTTCACACATTTTTTGTCTTTCATCCTCAGAAAAATGATTTTGGCACTGATACCGGCATTTTACGTAGCACTTTACGGGCTTAGATTTCTTTGCAGGCATGAGATAGCCCTTTTTACCCAAATAAGGCAAACCTTTTTGTTTATTAGATTTAGCTATGTTTTTTTCCACTTGCTAGGATCGCTTTTTTTCCAACGCGTAGGTTCAATAATATTGTTTGAAGTAACAACGATTGGAACTGGCTGTTCAGTTAATTCTTGATTGTCTACAGTGACATTACCAGATGAATCAGAGTTGGAAGATGGTAAAGTAGATTGTTGAGGCACGGAATATTGTTTATTTCTTGATTGAAAGTCATGTTTAATGTTTATATGCTGAAAACATTCAAGCCCCCGACTATCTGCTATCTTCGAGCGCGACGCAATAAATGTACTTTCTTCACTATCGCTCTCACTAGAAGATTTCGCAACATACACTCGTCTTTTCTTTTTGAAACATCTATCCTCTTCACTATCTGGAAACCATGAAACGCTCGAATCAGAAAACACTCGAACAGGAGAAGAACTCAACTCTTCGATACCGCTTATTTCTGAATGTGGACTTTCACGAGACTTTCTAATTTCGGTGTAGTTTTGGTGTGTTTTACATGATACATTTTCTTCTCTGATCAAATTCTCAACGGAAACAATATCATGGTAGGTTTTAGCCAATAAAGGAGCGGAGTATGGTGGATTGATACTTGGTAGATCTCTTTTTGGACTTACTATTGACGCAGATGGTGGAGCAGATTCATATAGATTATTGTTTTGGAACAGATCAAATTTCCTCTGGTCGAGCAGCTTAGATTCCTGAAATAAACAATTAGGAGAACGTTAGACATGATAAATACTGATACTATAAAAATAATAAAATAATGTCCACATGTTAGACTAAACAAACAAATGCCAGAAAGCATCCTTATAAATACAATAGGTACACCTAGTGACACAACCTAGCACCTCTATTACGGGGTGCGAGAAAATAATAATTAATTAATAATTTCTGAAGCTACTTGAGTGTACTCATTTCTTTTAAGTCAAGCATTAAGAAAAACCACACAACAAGGCAAGTAATCCAAGAGTCAAATAAATAGGTAAGCAACACCCAAATAATACGTATCATAGTAATTACTTTCATCAAAGTCATCACTTCACGAAATCTATACGGACAGCAGATTCCTATAAAATAACATTATTATAATATTTATCTAAGTAAATAACGTACATTAATAAAATTGAAACACTTTTAAAATACGATACACATCTAAAAGATACTTATAAACTAAATAAAAATATACTTAACACACTTACCTCTACAACAGTTTTTTCATTTTGATTCAATAAATCAATAATAAACTTAGCACGACTCATTGTTACACAGTGCGTTGTTTACGTAATTTTAACAACAACGAAAAACGTGTTTATGTCAGTCGACTTCGACTTCGCGAATGAATCGTCACACGTCGCGCTCGTCACTGTAGCCCAGTGCTTCCAGATCCCAAAAGTAAAATTACAGTGTTGCCAGTTAAAAAATACAGGAGTTTCTAAAAACAATACAGTAGATTTCAAAATCAATTACAGTAAAATTACAGGAAACACTTTGTTTAAATATTGATAGAAAAATAAGCTGCTTTATGACTCTTTATCAATACAAATTGCTATAAGTTATTAAATAAATAAAAACATATATTTAGATACAAGAAAAAAACATTTATTATTGATTTACTTATTCCAGAACAATTTGCTCATGATTTTCATAAATCTTTGCTGTCATCCTTGAAATCATTTCCTTAGTTGGATTAAAATTCACGCAATTTTCGGAAGTCCGCCGAATGGCTTGCTGAGCTAGCATGTTGCCTTTGATGGTATTTGTGACTAAACAGTTTCTCTGCTTTGTTTTTATATTATTTATTTCACTAAACTTTCGTTCGCACTCAGCGTTCGAGTGAGGCAACGATAAAACTTGGAGCATAAAACGAGGCAGAAAATGATATTTATTATCTCCGTTGCTATCTTTGATTTGAGACAACTGAAAAAAAAAACAAATCTGTAAAATGTAAACATATGTGCAATATTATACGTAAAGTTCTTAAGTGATAAAATTTTACCTGATGCCAAAACACGTCTGCTGGTTGATTTGTATTCAAATGTTGTTCATCCGCAGTCAACATTAAATTTCTCCATTCATCATCTAACGTCTGTTGATCATTTAAAGTTTGGGGTTTAAGCCTTGGCAGCACTGGGAACAGCGAAGACAAAGACTGTAGTCTATTATCAGATAAGCAAGAATCGGGATCCAACTTTGCGATTGAGCTCAAAACTGGGTCATTCAAACTGTATCTTTTCCGAATACCCACGCATGCTTTAACGATAAAATTCAGGCATTTCTGTTTCATCACTGTAACTTCTTCGGTACTTACATGTAGCTCTGGGACAGCAACTTGATTAGCAACACCCAATCCCAGGTATATATTTTTCAGATTTATGTAATGTTGACTATCAGTAGGGTCAATTGCGTCGAGTGGGGTGTTCTTTAAATGATTCGGAGTTATGTATAAGGATAAGAGTTCTCTGTATAGCTCTTTCATTTTGTTATGGGCTTCTATAATAACCGGATCTTCGCTTTGAAAATATACATTGACGCGGGTAAACTTTGGCAACATCCAACATAAAAAATAAAAATATGCCTTGATGATGTGATCATTCAAAAGAATATGAATGGCTTGGCAATCTTGGTCTTCCAGCCATTTATCGTCAAAGTACAATCGCAAAGCGTCCCATTGCTCCATAATTCTGTTCACAACACTGGAAAGAGACAACCAACGCGTTTGGGCTGGACGTAGCAATTTGTGTATGTTAGTGTCTGTAAATACTTGAAATTCCTTTAACTCTGCTTGACGTTTGCTACTATTTTTGAAGTAATTGTATATCATTCGAGTCAGTTTTTCTGCATCGTGGGGCAATTCTTTGCAAGCGTCGGAAGCGCACAAATGTAAAGAATGGCAAAGGCATTTGATCACTGTAATACCTGGACATAGTTGTCTAAATCGTGAGGACACTGAATTATGGCAGCCCATCATCATATTACATCCATCAGAACCAAACCCGATAGTATTTTCTAAGGGTATATTTTTGTCTCGAAATGATTTTATTATTGAATTAAATAATTTTTCAGCCGTGGCTGAGTAATCACCAGACGTTCCAGCTTTTTTGTCATCAAATATTTGAATAAGGTCCCAGAATCGACTGACGATACGTCCTAAATTAGGATCATAATATTTGACTACAACACACATTGTTTTCACACTGGCAACATCGGTACTTTCGTCTACCATTATAGAGAACTTTTCGCGTTTTAAATCTTCGACTAAACATTCTCCTTCAGAAGCCCCGATAACGTTATTTATTATTGCTTGTAATTTAGTGTGTTTAAGTTTGATATTACTTGCGATTTTAGAATCTGGAAAAGCTTTTGGAAGTAAATCAACGAGATGATCCATCACTATGTGCGATATTTTATGTTCTGCCATAAAAGCCGATAATTTTAATTCTGTAATTTTCCGCTGATCATCATCACTTGCGCGTTGCTGACTTTTAAAAATATTATCAATGGTACGCACATGCGATAGGGCAGGAAGACGAAGTTTATGCTTAGCACCTTCACTGTGTCTTTTAATAGCACCCAGATCGGCAATCAAAGAAGAATCGCAAACAGTGCAAATGCATTTATAAATCGACTTTTTATCACGCTTTAACCACTTACGGTAGTCTTGTAATTGAAGCCATTCATCACGGAATTGTTGCCGATATTTCTTTTTAGCTCTTGACGGACCAGCATCGCTACGCACATCACTTTCCTCACTGCTTGAGCTCATTTTTACAGTAATAAATACAGTGAAAAAATTATAGCGAATAAGTTTTTAGTTTAAATTTTATTTCACATCACCCAAAACAATTAAAAAGTTTAAATCTCAATTAAAATGTATGTACAATGGCAAAACTACTTTAAGTGTAATGAATTAGACGAAAAATACAATGTTCCTTTGTAAGACAGTTAAAACAAGTAACAAGAACCTACTTATGCTAGTTGCGTCCCAGAGTGCTCCACGTTAGTTCCGATTTGCCAGGGAATTCCCCGCAACTTTGTTACAAACTTACTGTACATTGTCTATGGATAATGGCGCTAGCACTCTTATTAGTTTGTGGTTCAGTGGGTGTAGATCATAGATAAATAAATTTGTAGCAAGGTAGTGTATTAGCATCATATTAGTCTGTGGTAGTGTAGATTAGCTGCGTTCTGTTTTACGTATTAGAATTGATAAAGCTATATGAAAATTAAATACAGTATATTCCATACACTGTATTTTATCATTACAGTATACAGTAGAAAAGTCTAAAATACAGTAAATCTACTGTAATTACAGTGAATCTGGAAGCACTGCTGTAGCCGCTACAAACTCACTAACTCGTGGGCGAAATGTACCTTATTTGTAGCAATGTACGTCGAAGTCGTATAAATAATAATTAAAAGACTTTAATTATTATTCGCAATAGATTTTATGTTCCATTTTTAAAATACAATAAAACATTAAAACGGATTGATGATTTTTCGCTTTTGTAGTATTGTACAAATCATTTAAAAAAAAGAGTGAATAGTCACTAAGTCGAGTTAGTTAATTATTGCTTGTGTGTGTTTTAGCAAACTACTGACTTTGAAAACTTACTAAATAATTTTAATGACTTTTAAGACTATCTAAAATCTTATGTATGAATTGATAATACAAGAAAAAAAGTAATTAAGTCGTTTTAATTTCGGGTGATGTAAATTTTCGATAAATGTATAAATATTTACTAAATTAGTTATTTCTCCCATTACGCTTTGAGATCCAAAGGGTAGACTTACTTTTCACATTTCGTAAAACAAAAGCGTGGGCAGCTACAAAAATGTCGATAAGACAGATATTTAGCGAACAAAATGTTGATTTTAGTGACATTGATAAGTCATTTTAGCCATTTTTAGACTTAATGACTTTTCGCTCTACGGGGACGATATGACAATGTTATCAAGTACATATTTTAAAGATTAATAATCTCCAAAATGTATCTTTTTATATTAAATTGAAGATGCACTACTATTATCAATTAAAAAGTGTTATGGTAAAGTGAAAAAAGTCTCGCTGGTTTTCTTGCTGGTTCTCCCCAGGACAGAGGTCTCAATGGTAAATAAAACATGACTTCCAATAAGTATTATGTAATAATAAAAAAACATTCTATTCTCTCTAATATAAGATATTTACTAATCAGTAGGGCCATTGTATAAAGAAATCAATTGATATTGTGCAAATATTGTTAAATTTAACACATCTAATATTATTCAATAACTAAGCAAAGAATTTTTAAACAAACGTTTTAAAAATAACCTGTTTTTTATTTTTAGTTATAGGAACTAACAATTACCACAAGAAACATAAACAACTATTAATTACATTGCAGCACTTGCGCAATGTAATTAGTGGTTGTATACAAAATAAAAATAGTAAAGTGCAAATAAAGGGCGAGCCCAAAGCACTATTAATTTATCACCATCTATTAGGAGAAACACGAACTTTAACCATAGATAAATAAATATGTAGCAAGCTAACTTTAACGAAAATCAAATTTGAGTCGCGCATCTATCTATAGTATATATACAGTAATCTATGGTTCACACCAGTTCACACTTTCAGTTTATACAAAGTACTCTGTGGTTCACACCTAGAAATTGGCCTCTTCCAAAGTAGATAGAAATGTATAGAGTGTAAAAGTAAGGAGTACCAACTCCCATAGTAGAATAGTTGAAAAAGTGGTCATCTGTAAGCAGTAAATAACAGTTCAAAAACTCTCCACAACAGCGCTGGAGTAGCTACTGGGAATGATAAATCGCCGTAAAATACGTTGAGAGTGATTTTGAAAATAAAAATTTTGAAATCAATAAAATAATTATTGTGAAAAGAGTTAGTTAGCTACTGGGATGAAATGAACTTAGCAGTTTCGACGGTTTGAAGTGTGCTGCTAAACTGCTCAGTAGCTCTAAAATCTAAAATAATTTTATTTACTAAATATAACCTCGAAAAAGTGTTCTATTCCACTAATATTTTTCGGCACGTTCTTTAAAATTTACCCCGTAGCTATATAGTGGCGCCACCTTATTTAAAGGTTTTTTGGACACTTTAATACACAGTCTGTACTCTCTACTTCTACACTCCATATAGAAATGTCTATAATATGGAGTGTAGAAGTAAGGAGTACAAACTGTGTTAAAAAGTGTCCATAGAAAACCGTTAAATAAGGGTGGCGCCACTATAGCTACGGGCTAAATTTTAAAGAACGTT